TTTTTTTTTTTTTTTTGAGTCAGGGTCTTGCTGTATAGTCAGGCTGCTCCTGAACTAACTAACTATAGCCCAGGCTGGTCTCAAAACTTGCAGCAATCTTCCTGTGTCAGCCTTCTGAGTGCTGGCTACCATGCCTGGTTATACTTTCAGTAATACAGCTTGCTTCTTTTTTTAGCTTCTGCTTTTACTTCATGCAGAACAGACTCTAAAAACCAAGAGAAATAGATTCAGTTACATTTTATACTGGTAAATAGTATGTAGTATAGTAAAGAGGGCTCTTTTATTTATAAATGGTCCATACATACAAGTCTATCTGTTGATGAAAAACAGTTACTGTGATTTCTTAAAGTAAGTATTGAGATTTTGGTTCTATTTTCAGAGACAGAAGAAAATTCATGATGACCATAAATCTTACTATGCGATCAACACTGTTTATGTGTATGGGCAGGAGAAATACTTACTGGTAAGAAGTTCTGTGGTACAAAGTTGTTTGTTTTGTACTGAGAATCAAACAGTACCTCACACTTGCCAGGCAGCTGCTGTGCTGCTGAGCTAAATCCCTGGCCCCAAGGTTTTGATTATTCATTACATTTTTAAACAACTGAAATGGAGTGACTTTATTTAACAGATATATGTAGACCCATGTGGTTTTATTTTTCCTCTTCTGGTTTATTCATTGTTTATTCGTTTGGTCTATGTAGTGATTACTTAGATATAAATACAAATAAAAATTAATGTGTTTGTCCCTTTAAATATATGCTATATCTCAATTAGAAACTAAAACAAAAAAATGAACTTCCCTTTTTTTCTTTTTTTTAAAATGTATTTGGTTGTTACAGAGACTCACTGTGAGGTAGGTCAGACTCATGGTGATCCTCCTGCTTTCAGCCTCCCCAGCACTGGGATTATAGGCCTGTGCCACTACGCCTGGCCTCTGGCCTATTAAGCCCACCCTGTAGGCGAGGCTGGCGCAGCATGTGGGATCAAACCATGGTCCCTTGCACTGGGCCTAAGCTTGCCTAAACAGGCACTTCAGTCTGCTGAGCTATCTCTCTGGCCCCTGAACTTCCCTTTTAATCTTTCTTTTTTTTGCGTGGTACTGGGGATTGAACTCAGGACCTTGCACTTCTCAGGCAAGCACTTATTCTACTAAGCTATCTCC